GAATGTCAAGGACATCCTCTCAGGGAGAAAAGGGGTGTTTCTTCAAACTGACTAGTTGAAGCTTGACAGGAAACACTAGGTCCCTGCTTCTCTTCCCCACCTTGCTACAGACCAGGGATACTTGGCACACATGGCCTGTCCCTGCAGGGGACTGGGGACCACAGTCCTTGACCTCATTTCAATGAAAGCCAGGGCGTAGAGGTGCCAATAGAACGTCCTGGCCATTCCCTGGCTCATTTATGGAGCCTTGTGGGTTCCAGGCCCTGTGCTGGGCACCTGGGAATGAAGAGCTGGGGGAGGCTGGCCCTGCTCCAAGGAGCTCTCTCTAGGGCTGGGCTCAAATTCGTGCTGCCTCGATGTGCTGGAAGGACTCATCTGTAGAAGGCAGAAGCCCGGGCAGACCCGAGCATGAGTGAGCAACAAGTAAGCACTCTGCCTGGGGTCAGCGTGGTGTGAGGCCTCCGCCGAGGCCAGCTCGCCTGAGTGGTGAGGCAGGTGGGGCAGAGGTACCTTTTAAGATGGTGCTCAACTACATGGGAGATGGTGGCAACCCAGAGAGGAGGGCGGCTCTGCCGGTGGGATGGACGCCAAGCAGGCTTCCTGGAGGAGGTGACCCTTGGCAGAGCCTTCAGGCAGTTGGTCACCAAATCATAACCACGACTCACCTATCAGGTCCTGTCCGTGCATGTCCTACAGGGGCCCTGCTCATTCTCTCCCCAGGGTCCGTGCAGATAAGCGCCACTGCCCCATTTGTTAGATGCGGACGTTCAGTCAAGAGGTCAAGTCATTTGTCCAAGGTTATACGACCGAGTCGAAGGTAGAGTCAGGTTTGGACTCTAGTCTGTTTGGTTCCTAATCCCAGTTCTGTCTGTTCGTTTCAGGAGGGAAATTGGGGGTGTCCCAGGCACAGGCAGTGGTGTGCCCGTATACCCATCTTTACTACACATTTATGGGTGAACACGCTGTGTCTTCTGTCTGCATTCCCCCCAGCCTTGCCCCCCACAACAGTACAGCTCACAGTCGGGACCCCTACCCGGGTCAGAGCGTCGCGAAGCCCGTGTCAGGAGAGCGGAATGTCCGCTATCGACCAAACGCTTCTCCGCACCACACTTCACCGTCAGGCTCTCACCTACTGGGTCAAATGAGTCCTGAGGCTCCAAGCCGGCACCCTAAACGGGACAAAAGACCATCTACGAGGCAGCCCCCATCTGGAGAAGCTTAAGGCCCGCCCCTCCCGCAGGGCCGGAATGGCGCAGACCCAGAGGGGAGGACGGCTCACTGTCGGGAAGGGAGCAAGGCAGCCTTGCTGCAAGTGGGCTGTCGTGGGCTTCTCAAGCACGGTGGCCCGTCTGTCGACCTAGGCTGGGGACAGGTTAATTATCAAAGAGGTGGAATGTCTGCAGCAGCAGCCGTTGCTGGCCTGTAGAAGGTTCCAGAACCCGCAGGCCTCATGTGAGCGCCTACCTTCACCCACCACCGCCGCCTCTGCTTCGGTAATAACAATTGGTTAGCATGTGTCGTTTCTTATTTTTTACTAATCTGATGGAATCAAGCCAACCTCCCACTAGGCCGCCGCTGCCCACTTTGCACCATTTCTACGCTCTCCCCCTTGACCGTGGCCCCTCCCTCCTGCCATAGGCTTCTGCACATGCTGCTGCCACTCCGCAGTGCTGGGGCCGAGACTGATCCTCGACATGGTGTTCCTGTGCCTGCCAGAGACCGCTGGGGTAGCAGGCCGGGAGAGCTCCGGCTTCTGGACCAGACCTCTGGGGGGTACCCTGGGGCCGGGGCGGGTGGTGGAACGGATCTGGACTCTGACCGCCTGGTTCTTGCTCCCTCTTGGAGATCTCAGCTGAACGATGTCATTTCTGGCCCTCGGTTTCTTTATCTGTACAATGGGGATGAACCCAGCTACCCTGCGGGACTGTTGTGAACTCATTGCCCTAATGTGACAAGACTTTGTTATCTGGACCCATGAGGTTCTGCAGTCCTTACTCGATAGCAGCCACACACAGGCCCTTCCTCAGCCCCGAGGGCCAGCCGTAGGCCATGGGGCAGCTCTGTCCTTGCCAACAGCCAACTCTCTGTTTCTCAGCCTGTGCTCCCTGTCCCCATCGATTTCTACCACCTGACCCAAGGGCAGGCTTCCATGAGCCCAGAGGCCACTGCCCTGGCTGATGACACCCTGGGAGCACAAAATCCATCTCATCAGAGGCTTTGCAGATCAGCAAAGGGCAAATAAGTGACCTGTAGAGGTGTTGGTTCCTGGAAAAGGGCTTACCTAAGCTGTAGGACAAACAGACTCTGGCCTGGCCCCCCAGACCTGTGGGACCTGCTGCTCCCCCCACCAGGACTCAGGAAGGTGGTCAGGTCTCACCTTCTCTCTGGACACAGAGGGCTGACATCACCTTCTTACAGGTTCACTGTGTACCCCACAGTCTGGTATTTAGTGGCAGGAGCCGCCTCCAGCTCCCCACCTCCTCTCTGAAAGTCCTAATTCTCTCCCAGAGGCCAAGGGCACAGCCTCAGCAGCCCCAGGGAGATTGGGTGGGTGGGTGTATCCAGGACCTGCTCAGAGTGTGGGTGCCACAGACCTGCCTCCTAGCCTGGGTTCTGCAACTGGCCTCCGTGACCTGGTCTGGGAAGCAACCTCTCTGTGCCTCGGTCTCCCGATCGTAATGGGAGCACCATAATAATGATGTCTCCAAACATCATTTCTAATCGATTAGAAAATGTGATTAGAAATGCAGAAACAGCATCAGCCCCAAACAGGTGGAAGCTACGAACTGAGACACATGTACCCCCAAAGCCTCCTAGCATTTATTAAGGCTCCAGGGGGACCCAGGGTGTCAGACACATTGTCAAGAGCATGAATTTGTCCCCGATTTACAGATCCTGTTCAGCCGTGCACAGGAGGCTGTCTTTGCTCTTTGGCACTGCCCATGTTCCATCCACGCTGCAGGTAAAGAGAGAGGGAGGGAGAGACTTCCAGGACATGGGCGGGGGAGGGGGTGTTCTTTGTGCGCCAGTTTCTCCTGTACTGGGTATGTGACAGGTTCTTCACAGCAAATAGGGACCCGTGCCCCCCCACCCCAAGCGCAGCATGCTTGGAGCTATCTCATGGATGCTTCCAGGCGATCTGATCATTCTTCCCTCTCTACCGGGATGGGGGAGGGAGGGTATGGCTGGCCGAAAGCATTTGCTCAAAAGGGACAACTTTGGACACATGCATGAAAAACAAATTTTCTCTCCCTAAAACCTTGAGAGCCCCAAGAATCCAAGAATATAATTGCTCTAATGTCTGCTAGGTGCCTACACTACTCTGTTGAACCCTAACAGCTTCCTGTGTCCTCATTCGAAACAATTTTTTACCAGGTCTTTCCAACCGCCTGGCTGACCTGAGTTTATGGCAGACGGTCACCGCGTAACCGGGAAAAGAAGCCAACGTCCCTGCATTTGGACTCTGGGTCCTTCCAGCCCGGGATCTGGAGTACGTCAGATGACAACTTTGAACCTGCATGTCCTCATGAGGACGTCAGCTCTGTAGTTCCTTCTTTGCTATATCCACGACACCCAGCACGGTATGTGGCTCCTAGCAGCATGAGTAAGACATACCGTTCAGCCTGCCCAGCCTGTGCCATAGTCAGGATTTAATGCGTGGGGATCACCTTGAACCCTGGAACATAATACAAATACTGGTTATTGCTAGGACGTGTAATAAAAGGTGGGCTTGCCGGTGTGTGAGCGGAAAGGTGATGTGGGTGTCTGTGCAGGGAAGGGCAAAGTTCACCACAGGTAGGAGCCGAACCACTAGGGTGAGTTCCAGGCGCCCGAGACTTAAGGGCCAGGTACGGCCTGGGCTCCAGTCTCGGCATAATACAGGGATTCGTTCGCAGCTGGGTATCCGGCCCCGAGCAGGTTCCCCGGGCCGCTCGCCGCTACAAATAGAACAGTGGCGGGAGCAGCGGGAGGGCAGGGAGGAAGGCTGGCATAGCACACATTTCGTTCCCAAGGGAGGGGTGTCCCGATGCGCTGGCACCGGGGGCTTTGTGCATTCCGTGCGCCGCCGCGCAAACAGAGCAGCTCTGCAGCTCTCTCCCCTGCTCCTTGTCATTGGCTGCCGGGCCGCGACCTCCCCCTGCGTTGGCAAAGGCCCAGCGCCTTGGCGGGGCACAAAGTCAGCCCCTCGCCCCTGACGCCGGACGGGAGGGGTCACGGCTGTCTGGCAGCCGGGGTGGGGGTGTGGGTGTGGAGCGGGTGGTCGGAGTTGGCAGCCGGTGCCCACGCTGTCCCCGCTGCCCTTCACCCTGGGTCCCTGCCCGCGGCGCCCGCCCGGGCGCCTCCACCACCTGTTGACGCGCCCCTAGGCTCGCGTTCTCTTTCGCCTTCTTTCGTGTGCTGGGGTCCTTGGGACCAGTTCTGCCCCGACCGCCCCCCACCCTGCGCACCCCGCGACTCGACGGCGCTCGCACCTCGGCCGGGGTCCAGATCCGCTCGCCAGAGGCCAGCGGAGCAGGGCTCCCGAGGGAGGAGGGGCCTCGCCAGCGGGGCCTGGGCGCCGGGCGGGAACCTCCAGGGTCCGGCGGCCTCGCGCCCACCCCCGCCGCGACTGCAGCCCCTCCCGGGGCGCGGGCCTGGACCCCCGCCGACGCCCAGCTGCACGCGCTGTCCCACCGTGGCTCTCTGCCCACCCGCCCGGAGACCTCCGCAGCCCCTCCGCCTCTCCGGCCTCAGTTTCCCCACGGGTGCAGCCGCAGCCGGGCACGAGGTGGGAGCCCCGGAGGCCGCGGCCCCGCCTCCGACCCCGCGGGCAGCCAATCGGCTGCCGCCGCCAGGGGGGTGTGTCCCGCCCGGGGCCCGGCCAGGGGACCCGGGGTGGGGCGGGGCTTCCGGCGGCCACCCGCGCGAGCCGCCCGCGCAGCCGGGCCGGGGCGGGGGGCAGAGGGGCGGCGCGTGCCGCGGGGGGCGCGGCTGGCACCGGCGCGGGGAGGCGGCGCCGGGCATGGGCAGGGGACGCGGCAGCCCCACGGCGGGGGCAGCGGGCGGCGGGGGCGGAGGCGGCGGCAGCTAGCGCCCTGCCCCGCGCCGCCTCCCTCGGCGCGCTCGCCCGGCGGACTCGCAGGCGGCTGACCGGCCCCAGGTACCCAGGGGCGGGCGGGCGCTCGCGGGGGTCGGAGAACCGGGCCTCCCCTTCTCGGGACGCCGGGCGGCGGCGGCTAGAGGAAGGGCCGGGCGGCGCATGCGCGGGACCCGGGGGCGCGGGCCGAGAGCGCCGGGTCTGGTGCGGGGGATCCCCGGGCCCAGGGAGCCGCCCCCTGCTCGGCCTCGCTCCGAGCGCCCGGAGCCTCGGAGACGCTGGGTCCACAGGTTGTCCCGCGGGAGGGAGGGCGCAGCAGGCAGGGGCCTCGGCGCGCCCTTCGCTCCGCCCGGTCGATTGAGGGGGGTGTCACCGGCCGGGGGCGTTCCCGGGACCCCGGGATCCCCGAGGCTGGGTAGCGGGCGGCGGGGACAGACGGACCGCTGGCGGCTGCGCTCGGACAGGAGAAACTCGCCCGCGGAGCCGCTTTGGGGACGGCCACACTTCGCGCCCGAGCCTGGTCTGCCCCCCGGCCAGCCCAGGGCAGCGGCGCCCGGTCCTCCCCGGCCCGGCCCTGCGGGTCCCGCGCGCGGCGTCCGCGCCCAGGTCTGTCCGCGTCCCGGCCGCGCGGGCCCGGGGGGCGCAGGGCGGTGTCCACCGCGCTCCGGAAGCCGGCTCTGCCTGCACGCGCGCCCCTGACCCACCGCGGCCGGCCGGCTGCGTGCCCGCGCGCTCCTCAGCTAGTTTTCAAGTTTAAAGGAGGGCGGCGTGCCCCAGTGTCAGTGTCAAAGTCCTCCTAAGAAGAGACTGTGGGACGTGCCGGCGTCTGCAGGGCGCTCCGGGCCCTTAGGGGCTGCGCGGCCACCCCCACCCCAGCTAACCAGGGAGCGCCCTGCTCTCCAGGGCCGCTCGGGAGGGGGGCCGGGGGTGCCGGCAGGGCCGGGGGGCACCGGGTTTTCCATTCCGGCTGAAGTAGGGTCACGGTGACTTTCCCCTTCCAAGGTGGTGGAGAGTTGGGGAGGATCCAGAGGACATACCGTAATCATTTCCTCCTTTACCTTCTCGCTGCCAAGGCTGCAGGGAAGGGCCCGGCCTCCGCGAGGAACCCCTGGTGCCGAGACCAGCTCGGAAGTCAGACGTTGCCGGCACAGGTAAACACCAGGTTTATTCGCTCCTGTTTGCAGACGGAAATATTTAAGTGTTTCCTTCTCTAGCTCAACAAACTAGCCGTCTGGGGTGAGTTACATTACTTTGTGGTGCAAAGTTAGCTCTGTGCTCAGTGCCTGGAAAGGCAGACGAATGTGGACTGGAAGTCGGTGCTGCTAAGCGGCAGATTCTTGTTTCAGTTTCCGGGAAAGGTTCATTCCTTGATAGCGATGGGGTTCCATGTAGCGTAAATCTAGACAGCTGAGCTGCCAGAAGAGTTACTCTTTGACAGACGCTTAAGTCACAGGTGTCGGCTCTTCTCGCCGTTTCCATGCTGATTTGAGTATCCAGCGGATAGCTTGAGGGGGTAGTGGGTTAGGTCTGGAGCCGTCCTCATATAGCACAGGGGCAGCCCTGTCCCACTTCGGGACAGCTCTGAGGCAAAAGCAAGTTTTGCCACGGCAGAGAAAATGTGTTTTTTTTTCCTCTTTTCTCAGATCTTAGATATATAATGAGAGACATCCCATAATCACAAAATGGTGTGTACTAGCTCGTGTCTGTCGGACTCGCAGACAGTTTTAAGCATTGTGTGCAAGAGAGAGAGAGAACGAGAGAGAGCGGAGAAAAAGCGTGTTTCTTGCACAGAAGCCACTTGGTAATCTGCTTCTGCTTTGTTGACTCTTGGGGAATGAAAAATCCTGCCATGTGAAACAAATGTGTTTCTGCTTCATCATTTTAAATGTCTGTGTAATAGTCCATCGTGTTTAGGTAAAGTCATTTTTTAGCCAATCCCTTAATATGTGTGTGTATAATTGTGTATTTTATATATATATACATAATTTATATATAAATTATATATATGCATACATAATTTATATATAAATTATGTATATATATATGTGTATATATATTTATGTATATACATATATTTATGTATATACATATACAATTATGTATATATAATTTATATATAAATTATATATAAATTTTATATATAAATTATATATACATATATATTATTTATATATAAATTATATATATTATATATATATATATAAATATAAATATATATATATGGGGGAGCCTGGGTGGCTCAGTGGGTTAAGCCTCTGCCTTCGGCTCAGGTCAGGATCTCAGAGTCCTGGGATCGAGCCCCGCATCGGGCTCTCTGCTCGGCAGGGAGCCTGCTTCCTCCTCTCTCTCTCTACCTGCCTCTCTGCCTGCTTGTGATCTCTGTCAAATAAACAAATAAATAAATCTTTATATATATATATGTGTGTGTGTATATATATATATATATATATATGTATATATATATAAAAAATCCATCATTCTACAGCCATCCACCGAGCACCTCCTAGGGTGCTCAGTGGGGAGCAAGAGAACCACGGTGTGCTCATGAAGCTCCTGAAGCTGCTTGTTGTACCAGGATACAAAAAAGAGAGCTGGAGATTGTCCTCATCCTAAAAGGCGAAACTGTTTTAGAGAGGGGAACTGTTTTTGCCAAAACATCTTGCCATTTCCTGATTGATAGCCAACGCTCTTTCTCTTGCGCACTGTGAGCATCTGTGTTTGTATGACAAATATTCTTTCAGTAATCGTAAAAAAAAAAAAAAGTCAAATGTTTCTCGGCTTAGCGTGAACAGATTTTAAACACCCCCACTTCTCTTTTCTCCTTCTCCTCTCCTGCATCTCTGCGTGTATCCCCAAAGGGAAAGAGCGCGAGGGCCTCGCCTTCCACGTGGCCGGTGTGGCCTTTTGAGCATCCTTACTGGTTTTGTTGCGTTGCTCCGAGAAAGGATGGGACCGGATCATTTCTGCTGCTTTTGAATTTGAGGACCGCTGTTTTTATTTTTGGTTTTCATGGCTTGATATGGAGTCAGTCTTCCGTATGTTCCACAGACATTCCGAAGGAAGGCATAGTTTCTGGGTGCGGGGTAGACGTGTGCTGTATCTGTTACTTCAGCCTTACTAGGGACATGGGACACGAGAGCTCAACGCCGAGGCCAGGTCATGTGGTTAGGGAGAGTGAGGCAGTGAACTTGAATTTCCAACTTGGTGTGAAGATAGTTTTAGTTATTTATTTATTTATTTATTTGAGAGAGAGAGAGAGAGAGAGAGAGAGAGAGAACAAGCCAGGGGAGCAGAAGCGGGAGAAGCAGACTCCCTGCTGAACAGGGAGCCTAACCCGTGACTCGATCCCAGGACCCTAAGATCATGACCTGAGCCGAAGGCAGACGCTTCACCGACTGAGCCACCCAGGCGCCCCAAAGATAGTTTTAAAGTAAGAATCGGGGTGCCTGGGGGTTCAGTGGGTTAAAGCCTCTGCCTTCAGCTCAGGTCATGATCCCAGGGTCCTGGGATGGTGCCCTGCATCAGGCTCCCTGCTCTGTGGGGAGCCTGCTTCCCCCTCTGTTTTTCGTTCCCCCTGCTTCTGTGTCTCTCTTTTTCTCAGTCTGACAGATAAATAAATAAAATCTTTAAAATTTAAAAAAAAAAACAATAAATAAACATAAAGTAAGAACCAAGCAGCCCCTGGCGGCCGCATGTGAACGCCTTTGTTTCTTTGTCCAAGGATTCACCACACTGACATGCCATGAGCTTCTTGTGGGAAGGAGCACACGCATGTGAGCTTCTAGCTGGTTCTGTGGATGGTGAGACGCGGCCTGGCCTGATGCATGTCACGGGCGGGAGGTGTGTTTGTTCCTTCCTCTGGAGTTTTGAATTGCGTAGCATCTCACCGTCGTGACAGCGCGGTGTCTGGAAGAGATTCCTGCACTCCAAAAAGTGAAGAATTTGGTCCCCCGGGCCAGCCTTGTTAGAATTATTTTTGTGGTTGAGCCGCCTTTGTTTTCAGGTCAGCTCGTGCTGTGAGAGAAAGCCCTCGGACGTGTCGGTTTGCGTCGCAGGCAGCTCCATACGGTGGAAATGCACTGGGTTCTGAAGGTTGGGACTTGGTTTCTTGCTCCTTAGCAGCTGCCTGCCGGGCCTGGGGTCTTTGCCCGCCTCTCTAGACCGCTCTGCTACTCTCTCCTCATCAGAAAATCCCACTTCACTTCCTGAGGGGTTGGGAAGCTCAGAAGTAGAGCTTACATGAAGTCCCCTTGTACAACATGAAAACCCACGTGTAGCCCAGAAGGTGCCCTGGGAGGAAGCTGACCCCATCCTGCCCTAGGCTCCTCGGTGAGGCACAGCCGGTCCCTGTGCTATTTTCACTCTGGCCAGGATTTTCACAGGCTCTCAGAAAGCAGCACGGACGTTCCCCACAGGGCTGGGACTCGCTGAGCGCAGTGTGTGTCCTGTTCGTGTCTGCCCCGCTGGTCTTACGTCCCGAGTAGGTCCTTGTGAATGGTCGCTGAGCCAAGCCACCAGCAGAACTCAGTTGGACAAGGACTGGCTGCCGGACCTCCGTTTCCTACCGGCCGCCAACGTGGGTGGGAGCTGGCTTCGAAGGGCGGACAGCAGGCCTGCCCACCAGGCCCCCGTGGCATGTGGCAGCTTCCCTCCCACCGGGACGGGGAGACCGCAGTCTCGGTCACGCTGCGGCAGGGGAGTGGCTGCAGTCCTGCGGCCCCAGGGTGCAGGGCATCCGTGTCATAAAGGTGGCGGTTGTCAAGATGACTCCGACCGTGATCATGACTCCGATTGGGGCACGTCGTGTATCGGAGGGACTTTTCACGAGCGGGCCTGAGCAGCTAGTTAAGTAGAATGCGATAGCTTTCTGCGAGATTGTGGGTTCAGATTCCAAACAACAGGCTCATCAGGGAAGGGGTGTCTTTACCCTGGTGGGAGTTCGGGGGCGCTTCTGTCTGGGAGGGCAGGGGTCCCGTGGCCACTCCGGGTGTGGGGATCAGATCGGCACGGGGGCAGCTCGAGACAGTGCTGGCTCCGTGTTGCAGGGAGCCGCGCTCGCCTGGCTGCTTCAGTTTTGCGCTCTTTTAAGACATTTGTGAGTAAAGAGGAGTGACGGTTCCCAGTCTGATGTACTCGCTTCACACCGTTAGCTCAGAGGCCACAAGCAGACCTTGAGGAAGGCATCTCTTCGAATAGTCAGAGCTAGCAAGGCAGATACAGAATGAGGCAGCGCCTCCAAGATCATGGAGCTTTGTATGCATGGTTCGAAATTATAATACAGTCAAGTGAACAGTATATTGTAGTTCCTTTTTCACCCTGTTTTTACGAGTGAGTGAGGCCCCACACTTTCCTGCAGCCCTTCGTAACCGAACAATCCTGTGGTTTGTGATAACCACACGAAGGTGACAAGTTGCTAAGCTCCAGTAAAAGGGACCCAGTCATGCAGAGTAGACCCGTGGCCGCGTCCTTTCTGAAACATTCTAAGAAGTGAGTCATCAGCCCGACGAGACCGCGTCAGTGTGGATTTCTAGTGAAGCAACATGGCTTGTGGGAGACAGGCTCGCTCTGCTGTCAGATCGTGTCTGCTGATTGTCCGCAAGCCGGGTTTCTCCTATCTCCTGTGTTCAGTGGGATAGTTTTTGACCAGAAGAACTTTTAAAAGCCTCTCCAGCAAGTTTATTATCGGACAGGTTGACTAGGCTGCCAACACGCTGAGCCCGTTCCCCCTTTCTAGGGATCTTGAGGAAATTTGATAAATTCTACAGTCTCCTTTTGGTTCATTTTATGGGAGAGCTTGATAACTGGACCAGAGTCTTATCCATTCGCTGTGCACTCACATTGGGGGTGGGATTAAGGGCAATGATGTTTAAAAGGAAAATTGTTCAGAGAAATGTGAAATCTGGTTGAAACCAGAGCATTTGAATGACTTGTGCCATCCTCTGATGTCCTGACCTTCGGGGGAGGGCTCTGCTGGCCCGTGATGATTGTCCCCTTTCTCTACTTGGAACATGTCCCCGTCTCTGACACTGTCTCAAGTCAGGGCAGGGGCCTCCCTCCTGCGTCTCCTGGGCTCCCCTGAAGGTGCATGGCATCCAGTCCCAAGCACATACAGGCTCAGGAAAGCACCTCCTCCCCTTCTCTCCTTAGAAGC